TTAATAATAATTACCTCTATTTAAATTTCTTTTCTCTCGTTTTTTATTGCTGATATTTTGTTATCGGATTTATTTTTTTGCAAAATTTTTATTTCCTTTTTAATTACGTATTATGTAACGCAAACGCACCATATGACCAGGAAGGCAACAAAAACAAAAACAAAAAATTGAAAGAACCGCAGAAATACAACAAGCACGTTTACATGTAGCGTATGTGCATAAACACATACTCTCATACCACATAATATGTACTTATACATACATTTATAAGAATATCAATTCGAAGCAGGTGGAATTCATTAAAGCGTACAACAGTCTCAGTCAATTCCGATTTTTTATTTTTGTTATTTTTCATATTTTCGGAATTGGTTATTTAATTACATGTTAAAATGCAATATTTTATAATTTATTTTATTAAAAAAAGGAAAATGAAACAATAAAAAACAAACAAAAATAGGAAGAATGATTGGTTACACTGGAATTGACATTTTAAAGAAGGTGTACAATTCACATGTGTGTATGTATATGCGCCCTGTATTCATGACTGCAATAGATTTAAATCGATCTAGTAATTAAAATCATTTTTCATACACATATGTATGTACGAATACCATTTGTATGAACAAATCAATAGATATACTTGTCATTTATATATATACATACATACACACAAGACCATATTTAATATTTCATGTATATTATCCTTTATATACTAAAAGTTACATATGTACATACATATATTTTTTCATGTGCTCAACCTCAAAGAAAGAAAGGAAATCAGAAAAATTGGCATGGAAAAAAAGAAAGAAAAAATTCTGGCATATGTGCATCTGTTAAATGTACATAAATGCGATATAAAAACACACGTATGTTTATTGTATAAATTTCATTTGAAAATTTAAAAAGGCTCTATCTTAATTAAAACCGAAAAAAGCCGAGAGGGCTTTCCGCAATACTATGAGGAGAGGTTTAGAAAAGCTGCAGAGACTTACATGCATTCGCATTACTATGAGAAAGTGTCGGGCCACGGCTTTATTGCAATGAGGAAGTGGGCCGTCTTGGATTGTTTCAATCCAACGAGTTCTTATGATCAGAAGCAACAAAGCACAATAATAGGCAAGGAGAAAGTTCACAAGTCTCCTAACGGAACATCGCAGACTCAGGCGTCACACTAGAGGAGACTTCAGTGGACCTTCTCGGTGAGTGTGGAATATTGTTCCAGAGAAGAAGTACGTCTCTGGGTATTTCGAAGCAAGATACTGAATCGACCTTCTGCAAGGTACTGAATTTATTACAATGAATCTCGAGGGGGTGCTTTAGATTTAGTAAGATGAAATATACATACTAGGTCAGATATTCAATACTGAAAGTTTTTACTCTTTCTTAGCGTAGATGAAAGAATTTACATATATATAAGATGGTATAAATTTGAATTGTCAACTGTACATAAGTGGGCAGATTCCGAACCAATTTCATAAATTTAAAGTCATAGATTTATAAAATTTTCGAAAAATTTTTTTCTACACTCAAAGAACTTTTTTATATTCTCAAAAAAAAGAATAAATTATTTTTATTTAAGGCTTCAATTTACCTGATTCCGGCACTGAATATATTTTATTGCTTTCTAGATATAGAAATTAAAAAATGTATAAATTTTTATTAATGTGCTCATATTTTTTTTTGAGCAATTAAAAACTGAATTTTTATCCTGAGAATCCGGTTTGTTCAAATCAACTGTTATTTTTTTTTTTGCATATATATAAAAAAATTAAATAAAATTTTATGAATCAAAAATTATAAAATAATTAACATTTTTTTTTTTAATATTTTTCTCTGAACAGTTACCAAATTGACTCTGGCAACTGCAATATTCATTTGAATGGAAATGAATTCAAATGAATAAAATTTAATGAGTCATAAAGATATTTTTTTTTTTATTTTATTATAATTATTTGTATGTGATTAAAATGTATTTAAAAGAAAAAATTAAATAATTAAAAAAAAAGAAAAAAATTAGGTAAAATAATTATAAGTAAATGAAATTTTTAAATTAAGTGATTTTGCATTTTATCGGTAATTGAATTAAAAATTTCGTTAATAAAATTTCCATTTAAGGATTTGCATAGAAATTGTGAGTATATACATAACTGATTATGGCCTTTAGCATGGTTAAAAATGTGAAATAGCGATCTGATCCTTATAAGGGTTGGGCAGAGCTATCAGAATGTGACAAAAAATTTTCAGCGATTCAGCCGGACATGAATGCTTAATACATAGATTAGCAAACGTTTTACTAAAAGCATCTCGTAGTTATGTATTACGTATGAGCTTCTCCAATACGAAAAAAATGCATTTACACCATGAAAATTCGACATTTGAATTCTTCTATAATGACAATCGTAATACTTCCTTAAGTGTACGGAATTCACAACGATCTTTTCTAAAAATTGTTACGAAATAATTTCGAAAACACGCAATCCATCTATTCTAAATTAAAAGAAACCATTTACATCTACCTTATTCGATGTAATTGCTGTTATACCCAGTTTTGATACCCATACGAGCTATTGAACAATTGAATTTCAAATATTTTTCCATTCTGAATTTGAAATTTAAATATAACTTTTATGGAATTTTTTTATAAATCTTTTACATAAATCAAATTTTTAATGTTATTAAAAAAAACATTTTCTAAAATTAAATTAAATATAATTTAAAAAAAAATATGATTTTTCCCAAAAAAATAAAAAAAATGTAAAATTTGAACAAATCACTGAACATTTAAAAAATGTTGAATTTAATTCAAATATAATTGAAAAAAATATCTTTAGAAATATTCAATGTTGTTTATGATGGGTCAAACTACCAATTTAATGATGATGAGGTACTCTTAATAAATCAGAAGATGTGCATACGTTCTAATAATTTTTACGAGTTTCTTATATAAAAATTTTTTGAATTGAATTAATTTTGAACATTAAACAAATTAAATTATTTATTTCTATATTATTTGCCTATAAAATTTCCTTAATTTTATATTTTAAGGGCAATTTATTTTTATATATTATATATGTATAACTTTACTAGACGCATGTATGAGGAAATATACAAGATTATGAATGAAAATCGAAAAAAAATTTGACAAAAATAATCAGAAAAAAAAAAATCAAAAGCAAATAAAAAAACTCATATAGAAATAAAAATCCTTATTAAAGGACAACAACAAAAAAAATTCCAACTCAATATCCATAAAGTTATAAAATAAATTCCTGTTTAAATTCCAATTTTCTTTGCTCATAGATATGAGCTATAAATTCTTGAAATTTTCTCTACCAAAAATATTGTAGTGAAAAAAATTGAAAAAAAAAATCCTTTTTGATGTGTGTGTGATTTTTTTTTTTTTTTTGTTTCTTTTGAATGGTCCTTCAAGTCTCCTATTGTTTTTCCTTTTGTGTTTGTCGAAAATTGTATGGCGCAAAAATATTAAGGAAAAATCAGAAAGTTTTCTTCTTTTGTTACTGTCGGAACTGATTAAAAATAGACAGAATAAAGAAATGGTCAAGCAGTCAAGCAATTCGGTTCGATCTTGTACAAATATCGGATTATCGGGCTTGTTTTCAGTACTTTGATTACAGGATTCCTTACAAGAAAAAGCAGCAATTGGTCACTTTTAACGTCGGGTTTCAATACAATTTTTTCGCTTTATTTTACATTTGGCCAAATCAATAGCTCTTCCCATACTAGATTCCATTGAAAAATTTTTCATATACCGCACAAATTGTTGGAGTTTTCTTATTACAAGACCAAATTTTTATCGTATATTTTAAAATATTGTAAATTTTCCTAAACAAAAAAGAAAAATTAACTAGGAAATTTTCAAGAAAAATTAATTGGTACACATTGGATTTCTCGAAAATTGTTCGGTACATTGTCTAACTTAGACCTTAAATTAATAGCTTATTCAACACTGGAATTGAATGAAAGAGAAATGAAAATCGTAGAAAGAATTGTTTAAATATTTAAATGAAAATCCGAAAACAAAAATAAAAAGAAAAAATGATAAAACCAAAACAAAAGTATTTTTCTCCTCTATTTTTTTTTTGCTATCTCTCACTCTTTCACTCCCTCTTCATTTCGTATAAGTCACTATTTTTTGTTTGTTTATTTCGTTTTTTTTTTTTTTTGGCAAAATCTTCTGAATAAAATATTTGGATTTTTTGAATTGCTATTTATTTTTCCATATAAGTATAAGATAGCCGGACACTATTTACATTTTCCGAGCCATTTCTTTTACATAAATAAATAATAAAAGAATAAACAAAATAAAAAAAAAATTAAGAATAAAAATGTATAGGAGAAGAGTGTATGTATACGAGTAATATAGTAGAAGCATATGTAAATTTACGCACACACATTAAAACTATTCATAAATGTAGAATGTATGTATGTGTGTATTGTATTTTTAATTTTATCTTTTCTTTATTTATTTTCTGTTTTGTTTGTCCTTTGGTATTATTAAATATTTAATTTTTTTTTTATGTTATCCTGCCGTTTATTATCTTTTGATAACTTTCAATTCATTTTATATACATACATACATATATGTACAAGTATTTTGTGTGTGTCCTCATTTCTTTAATATTATTTCGATTATTTCTGAATTTAATTCAATTCTATTGTGTGTCGTCTCAGAACAATATTAGAAAAAGAATTTTCATGAAATTCTTTGAATAAATGAAAGAATGCAAATATTTTCTAGCTTTGTTTTTTTTTCGGAAATTCTTAAGTTCTTCTATTCTTGAAATTATTATGAACAATATTCTTTTCTATACACTAAATAAATATTTTTCAAATAAATATCTTTCTTTTTTATTTTTTATTCAATGTATTATTTATTTATAAAAAAAAAATAAATTATTTTTTGAAGAATTTTCGAAATTTTTTTTGTAATATTGAATTTTATTCTAAAATATTTTTTTATTTTTTTTCTATATTTACAGACAAAGATATTCGTTCACAAATGACATCAACGGAATTTTATCATTCACAACAATATGGAACAAATAATAATGGTATAACAGTATGTAATGGTAATAGAATAACAGGAACAAATGAAACTGGTTATTATCAAATGGAATCACCACCATGTTATACAATTGCAACTGGATTACCAAGTTATGATGAAGCATTATTATATTTTACAACAACAAATAATAATCATCATCATCATCATCATCATAATATACATCATTCGATTTCACATTCTCATCACAATCATCATCATCAATTATTATTACATCATAATAATAATCAATATCATAAAAGTTTACAATGTGAAAATCAATATGAAAAACATAAAGAATTTCGATATATTTTTATAAATGATTCAACATCAACATCAAGAAATTTATCTGAAAATTCTATAATAACGTCATTAAATCAACAATATAACAACAATAACGGTAATGCAGAAGATGAATGTAATAGCATTATGATTGACAGTGAAAATCATTTATCACAACTTAATTTAAGTGAAAATCTAACTGTTAATAATTGTGATAATAATAATAGTGCTGATTCTATTGATTTAAAAATATACTATCCTTATGAAAATATTGAATTACAACAGCATCAAAATCATAAAGATAATCAACAAGAACAACAACAACAACAAGAAGAACAACAACAGCAGCAACAGACGACAATTGATGAAAATATTTCACAATCAAATAATAAAACAAATGAAAATTCTAAATATAAATATAGAAATATTGAAATAAAATCGTGCCTCAAATATTCACCACAACAGGAACTACAAGAACAACAACAGCAGCAAAAATCTAAAAAACAACAAGAATTTCAAATGATTGAATCAATAAATTCACAACAACAACAAAAACAACAAGAACAGCAACAAATAAATTCACCTGCATCAATTTTTATTCCTAATCATCAATATAATGATAATAATGCATCAAAAACAACAACAGCAACAAAAACAATATTAATAAAAGAAACAAATTTTCAAAATCATAATATAAAATCATCATTATCATTATTATCAAATATACCATCATTATCATCATTAGCATCATCAGCACAATCTTTATCATCGTCATCATTGAAAATCGAGGATGAAATCGAAAATTGTAATAATAGTAATTTAAATGTTGAATCAATACAAAATCATAATCATCATACTATTACTATTACAAATGATAATAATGATTGTCATGATAATAATAAAAATAGTAATGATAATTTAAATGATAATAATATAGTTGCTATTTCCTGTCCAATTTCTATGACAAATGATAATAATTATGATGAAATTAGTTCAAATTTAGTTATAAATGAAAATTCTGATAATATATTATTATATAATAGTAATAATATTAATAATAGTTTAAATATAAATAAAAATTTTAAAATTGAAAATCAAGATTCTAATTTGGAAGGAAATTGTTGTACGGATATTGTGGTTACGCCTTGATATTAAAAGAAATTTCATAAGATTATTAAATGAAAATAATTAATGTATTGATTTTATTGATATTTTAAAGTAAATTAAAATTTATTATTTTTTTCAAAATTTTAAGAAATTTGTAATAATACAAAAAAATATTAATATTAATTAAATTTCAAAATCTTGTCATTATTATTTTAAAAAATGAAAAATTCCTATTGCAATTTAATAATTTAATAATTAAAATTTTTTGATTCCATTAATATTGTAATTAATTTATGTATGTATTACTAAAATTCTAAGATTAAAAAAGAATTATTAAAGTAAATTAAGTATGTTTTCGGATAATTTATAACTATAATAGTGTAAAATTGTAAAATATCGCCATTTGGAATTGTCTTGTCTTTATAACACAAATTTATAATTTTTTTTTATGTAAATTTAATTATAATTTTAAATAATTTTTTTGAAAATATTTTTCAAGACTGATATAACTAAAATTCGAAATAAGAAATTAAATCAAAAAATAATTTTAAATTTAAGTATATATAAAATATTATAAATGGAAAATTAAAATAATTTAATAAAATAATTACAAAAAATATATTTATTTATTTTTAAAATAAAATGTAAAAATATAAAACAAATAAGAAAATTAAAAATTATATATAAATATGTAGATAATATTAAAATTTAAGAAAAAAAAAATATTAAAATTTTAAAATCCGCTTTTAAAATTGAATTTGCTTTTAAATTAAATGTAGATTTCTCATACACCTCTCATATTTTATTCCAATTTTTCAATATTCAATTTTTGTGTTTTTAGAAATTATATTTTTGCCATATTATTAAATTTTCATATATTCCTTTGTATTTGTTCAAATTATGAAAATAACCAAAATATTAGTAATTAAGCTCTCAAAGGTGATAATCAGTGTTCTTTTAATCACAATATAGAGATTTTCTGGCTTTTTAATTGCAGCAGACTACTAAAAATACTTATAAAAAATTGAGTTGTTACAGTTGAAATATTAATTAAATACACAGTAGGCACTCTTAAATATCTACTCTACCGGATAAGTCCGATTAATTGGAATTGGCAGCAAAATCTTTATTAAAATTAAAAAAACACTGATTTTCAATTGTTCTTAATTGTCTTAATTAACAACTAAATATATTGAATGCTTTATCTTTCATTTCTCTTTATTTAATATAAAAATTTTAATATAAATTTTTAATGAAATCAACAAAAAAAAAAAATTAAATGGAAATTTTAATCATTAAAACTTAAAAAACAAATATTTTTCATTTTATTTTTTCACGTTTTATCGTAAAATTTTTAATCTCCGCATATACAAAACACATTCATAACTATTTTTCAATACACACTTAAAAATGTGAAATTTACAAATACAATTAAAAATAATTCTTAATATTTCAAATATTATAAATAAAAAAAAAACTAAATAATAAAATACAAATTCTGTAGAAAGAACAATAAAATTAAAATATTTATTTGTGCATAATTAAAAACAAAAAAAACATACTTGCAAATTGATTGAAAAGCGAATTAAAAAAAAAACATTATTGCCTCGAAAATAAAACACAAAAACACACTAAACACACTTAACATTCGAAAACACACCAAACACACAAATTTAAGGTTTTTAAATATAAAATTCAAGGGAAATTATAAAAATATTAATTATTATTAATAAATAGAATAAATAGAATATTTCAAAATAAAAATATTTTTTTCTTGTTAAGAAATAGAACAAAATTTAATTATTATTTATTAAAAGAATTAAGATAAAAACGCAAAGAAAATATATTGATAATAAAAATAATTGAAAATTAAATAAAATTATGTAAAAATAACAAAAAAAAAACAATAATAAATAAAATATTTTAGATTTACACTTACACAATCACACATACACGCATGCATATTATATTGTTGTAAATATTAAAAAAAAAATTATTATAATTATTATTATTAAAAATACTAAATATTATTATAAAAATATTGTACATACATACACAATGATTGAGATTATTTGTTTATTATATAGAAGAAAAAAATACAAAATATGGAAAAATATAAAAAAAAATGATTAAAAATAAATTTAAAAATCACGAAATTAAAGAAAAAATACAAAAAAAAAAAAAATAAGAAGAAAATGTGTAAAAATAATAAAATTTAAATTAATGATTGAATTGAAATTATGATTTTTATTACTTATTCCGCATTTATATAGGTGATTTTTGAAGAAAATTTTAAAGAAAAAATTACAGAGAACCACCCTGACTAAATTTAATCTACTATGTGCCCCTTAATAATTTAAGACTAGTAAATCTTCTGCTTGTAAGACCAAGCTCTAAGCTGTATGATAAGCGAATGATGATTTTACTCCTTTTTCTAATTTTTGAAATTTATAAGAATTTGTTTTCTAAAAATCCATTTTACACAAATTTATATCTTGATTTTTTTCTTCATGAGCAAGACATTTATAGCCTTAAACTATGCGTATGATATTTTTAAGACGCAACTTTATCCGTATTAAGAAAAATTTTTTTGCTCAGGTAGAAGCTGAATTTTATATTTTCAATAAATTCTATGTCATGATAATTCAAAACGTTTTTAATATCCGGAACCATGCAGTTTTTACAAGAATTCGATGAGGACCTAAAAATAGAATATAAAATTCTATGAATTTTTTCAAATGGAGGGCATATTGAATATAAAAATAGTGCAAATAATACAAAGAAATCATACTTAATTAAGGAGGGATATAAATAAAACATGAAAAATTCATTATTCTAGTGCCGATTATTCATTTTTATCCTATATAATTCTTGATGCTGAGACTGGCGCTTCTAAAACCTATCTAGTAATTACTAAATTAAAGTTGTGCAACTGAAGTCTCTATCAGCTATTGGGCATCAATTACAGCTTACAATCAAATTTGAAAGTGTACAGTTGACAAAATTCTCCTTCTTATATGCAAATAAATGGATCGAAATTGGCTCCTTTAAATGGACGACCTGAAATACAATTGCAATCAAAAATCAAAAATAATTTAATTAGAAAAGTAAATGGTTTGAATAATAATTTTATGTAAATTTGATATTTTTATGGCTACGATGTAACGCTTAAAACGTCACCCATATATATTTGAAACAACTAGCAGTGTGCCCTCTCGAGTTATAATAAAATCAATTAATCACTTCAATTATGTTTTAAATTTTACGCTTAATCATATTAAAAGAGAAAAATGGATTTTGTCTTCTCTTCTTTTTATAAAACACTAAAATAAATTTTGTATGATTTAAAAATTTTCAATATGGCTGAAAATACACACATGGTGTTCACGTAATTTTTAACTTTATAGATTAATTACTTTTAAAAAAGAATTATAAACTGTTTTTTTTCTGCTTTAAAAAAGTTTAAATTTTTTTTTTGGCAAAAGTTTTTTAACCTAACCTCAAAATGATAAAAAAGGAGGAAGAAAACCAAAAAGAGAAACTTTTAAGTTTTTTGTGACAAATTTTTCGTTTTATGTTCACCCACATTTCGCTATACTTACCTATGACAACATTATTAATAGTAAAATGAAACAAAACTTTAATTTTTACTCTTTTTTTTCTGGAAACCACATCACAAGTATCACATTAGTATCGTCTTAATCCTTAAACTTTAAATTTATTATACAAATATAGGAATTTTTTTTTTATTTAGAATTTTCACTGATTTTTTCTTAAAATTTAAATTTTGGGTAGAAGCAGGCACGAATATCGCAATTTGAATATGAATGCAGGGTCTGCGTTGAAAATTAAATTGCAACGCTCGGAAAATTGAGCCATTCGTTTTGTAATGCAGCACATCCCACTGCTACCAATATTATAAGAGAATATTGTATTATAACTGTCATAAGTTTTGTGAAATAAGTAATTTATAAGAGAGACTATAAAGACACAGGATGACATTACATATGTCAACCATTCACAGATTCTTGTGCATTAAGTATGACATAACATTAAACAATATCACTGTATTATTAAGTAGAATAAGCTATTCCGCAGCTTAATATCTTGTTTATAAAATAAATTATCAAGAGTTATATACTAATTTTTGAGTGGCACAACACAAGACAGTAATTGTATTTTATGCAATATGGAAGTCATGTAAAAAATTTCTTCAACTGTTATTATTTCTTTTGTCACTTTCTAATAATATTGAATCGATCCTAATAATTTTCTTCTTGTTCCTGTTTATTAACGTGTAAAATAGACTATAAAGTACTTTAATTAATACATGAATAAGCAAGTTCTATGTTAGTGTGCTTCTCACAACATATCAACACTATCATGAGTTGAGTTTATACTTATAATGTTAAAGTGCATCAACTATGTATATTGCTTTCCTTTATGGTTTTGAAGAAGTTTAATTCGCTAGATATTGTTGATATTAAATTTTTAAACTCGTGCATATCATAATAAATTTATTTAAAAAGTTATAGAAGGAAAATTCAACAAGGAAAATAAAGAAAATTATGGTAAAAACTTTGACTTACTATTAATTAATATTATATACATATAGGTACAGAAATTTATTTTTGAGAAATTTACATATGTGTGTACATTTATAGTTTAATTTAAAACACAGAACTTCTTGTATATTTTGTTTAACTAATTTAAAGTTAGTCACACATCGAAAATCATTAATTTTTAATTTTTTAATTTTGTTTCCGTATTAAATAGTAATTTATCTATAATTAGTAAATATAAAGATTGCAAGACAACACTATTTTTTCGGTATTCTTTATGTGTTCATGCATTTTTCGTACACTTTTTAAACGGCTTCCATTAAACTTTTAATTACAGCATAACGACAAGTGTTTTTTTACTATTTTCTTGTTGTCATCCAAAATTTCATATACTGAGCACATTTTATTGCAAGTCAAGGCGTAAGGTACATTCAAATATAGTGACAGAAAATGAAGCTTACTTCTTTAATAGAATAATTG